TTAAATATATATTTTGGCCAAAATTATGTTAATTTTGGCCGAAATTACAGAATCGGACCTTAATTTCCGCAATTGTCTGCAATATCGTAAATCGCAATTATTTTGCAATTGCCTATTTGCGGATCCATCCTTAGTAATAATGTATACTTTGTTGATCCAATGAAGGATAGTGTTCCATTTCTTGATATGATTCAGAGAGGTAAATTTGTTGCTTTATATGGTACACACGTTTTAGGAAAATTCACATGTATGATTCAAGTTAAGATACAGTTGATAAATGAAAGCTTTATCTGTAATTAGTAAGCTCTGTTTAATTAACTTTGTTTAAAGTGAATTGATTACATTTATGAAGTCTAATTGTTGATTCTATTTCTTTTCTCTTTTGAACAGTGTAACTCTCAAGCTGGTTAACATAGAATCTGTAGATAAATTCTGGATATCACTTGGCCATTCTTTTGAAATTGATGACACTTCTGATATCAAATTTGCTAGTATCAAATCTGCTAATGAATTTGCTAGATTTTTTAGTAAAGACAAGTGTAAAAAAAGGGTGGTTCTCTTTATTGATGAGTATGATGTATTGTATGAAGCAGGTGATGATATTAGAGCCCCATTCCTTGGAACCATCCATGGCATTAAAATTGCAAAAGATAAATATTCTCTCTGGTCTTCTGTGGCTGTTGGTCCCTTCAATATCTTACATTTGAGTTCAAATAGGAGTATGTCATTATTCAATGTAAAAAGTCCATTCCAAAATCCAAATTTCACGAAGAAGCAAGTACAGTTATTATATAGAAACTTTGCACATGATCACGATTTCACTATTGATCCAGCAATAATTGAAGACATTTACATACAGACAAATGGGTATGTGAATTTTATCATAGTCATATGACAAAACAAAAAATCAAAAATTTATTTTCTATAATTCTATTATTTGATAGATATGCTGGTCTTGTATGCCTTTACGGAAAAGCTATTAATGTAGACTTAATAAGGAAACTTGATGAAAGAAAAAGGCTTGACTTTTTAATCTGATTAAACTTCACCATTAGTTTATTGCAAAAATCAGTACTAGATTATGCCACCTTTAGAAAGATAATCCATATACTTACCAAAGATAAAGCCAGGAAAGCCATGCAACTTATTCGATCTACATTCATAGGATTCTTTGATTTAGTACAGATTGTTGACAATGAAGAAAGAAATTTAGCAAAATTCTTAACAGCTGAGGGTGTGCTAATCAGGGATGAAGAGATCAAAGATAGATTTAAAATGTCATCTGTTCTTGTAGATGATCTAGTTCGACAAAGAGTCATTCCTAAATTATTCAAGTCCTTCCCAATAGTTGCAGTTCCTGAAAAACGTGATGCATTCCTTGATACTGTCAATGTTTTGAAGACAGTTGTCTAATTCTTTGACTAAGACATCATTTCTAGAGCATTCTATCGGTCATTTAAAATAGCACATAATGTATATGTGAAAGGTCAAAAAAACAAATATGTTTTCTGAGAAAGTGTCTATGATATAGATAGAGATGAATAAGTTCTTAATCAATTGGATTTCCAAACAAAGTAATTTTAAGGTTACTTGTCAGTAGCATTTGGTAGAATATCATGCCAACTAGAGCTCCAAACAGGTTGAGTCAGATCGGGTAATTGACTTGACCTGACCTGATAAGGTCAGGTTGGATCAGACATAAAATTGACCTGAATTAAATATACATTTGATCCGACTTGACCTGACCTGTCTAAAAAAGAAAACTAAACAATTATTAATTTTATTTAATATTTTTTTAAAAAAATATAAAAAAATATTGATACATTTTTACATTTGATTATTTTTCAAAAAAAAAAGATACTAATATAATTATTTTAACTGCAGAATTTAAAATTACAAGTTGCGATAAATCTGCAAATCTGGTGACTGCTAATACAATTACAAAAAACGTATATAACCTTACAGCCATTAATCCAATCATAATAATATTTTATATGCACATATTTTCGACCCTGCTGAACAACTTTACTTACGCGACCAAAATTGATTTCCTTTGACCATAATACTTAAATTGCTCTTTGAAGTTACTGTACGGAAAAAAAATAAAAATAAAAAAATTCGTGAGATAATATAAATATGAAAAACGTATATAACTTTACAATAATTGATCCAATCATAATAAAATTTTATATACACATATTTTCGAACCCGCTGATCAACATTACTTACACGACTAAAGTTGATTTCCTTTGACCAAAATACTTAAATTGCTCTTTGAAGTCACTGTACGGATAAAAAATAAAATAAAAAAATTCGTGAAATAATACAATTACAAAAAACGTGCATAACTTTACAACCATTAATCCAATCATAATAAAATTTTATATACACATATTATCTAACCCGCTGATCAACATTACTTACGCGACCAAAGTTGATTTCATTTGACCAAAATGCTTAAATTGCTGTTTGAAGTCACTAAACGAATAAAAAAAAATTAAAATATTTCGTGAGATAATACAATCACGAAAAGCATTCATAACTTTATAACTATTAATCCAATCATAATAAAATTTATATACACATATTTTCAAAACCGCTGAGTAACTTTACTTACGCGATGAAAGTCGATTTTCATTAACTAAATTGCTTAAATATCTCTTTGAAGTAATTGAATAGATAAAAAAAAAATTAAAATTAAATTGTTGAGCAATGTAATTGCAAAAATGTTTAAAATTTAAATTTAACTTTTTGATTATAATAAATTACAAAGTAATTATACAAACAACTTTATTAGAATATAAAAAGAAA